GCGGAAGTGCAGTGGCATGCTCATGGCCACCGCAGTGTCGACTTCCTGGGCTCCGGTGATCCTTCCGCTTCAGCCTTTCCAGTAGCCGGAATTACAGGCATGCGCTACCACGCTCAGCTGATTTTTTGATTTATTGTAGAGATGAGGTCTCGCTGCCCAGGCGGGTCTCGAACCCGCAGGCTAGGCAATCCACTCACCTCAGCCTCCCAAAGGCACAGGATTACAGGATGAGCCACCGAGCCCGGCTGTCCCACAGATTTAGCAGCAAAAACATCTCTGATTATCTTGGGGCCAGAAGTGTTAGCGGAGTAAATATTAATGTTACAGGTATCTTGCCATTGTAGTACCTTGTTTATCTACAATTGTCATTTAGCTGAAGTACCGTGTTTTCAGTTCAATTGAGTTTTTCAAGGCTTTTAAATCTGAATATCTATTATGTCCAAAGTTCTGGGACAGTCTTTGGAGGAGGAATATAAAGCTTGTCAAAAACTCACAACTTTTGGGGGGAGCCACATAATCTCATACACTAAATACATTGTGACAGGCACAGAAGGGCATGTTGAAGAGACCGAGTAGACCAGCCATTATGCCTGGCTACCCATAGGCCGAGACAAGCCTAACTGTAGGATTACTTCAGCTTGCAAACAAAACTTTTAAAATGTGTTCTCAATAGTGTATTTAAAAATAAAAATATCACAAAATCCCCTCTTCTAGCACCTTGGGAAGATCAGGCAATACTTGGCTGGGGCCCGCAGAAGGCTCTGGTGTCAGCAACTGCTCCTTGAACACAGTCTGCATCTTTGGCTTAAGGTACGGGTTTGGCCTTTGCAGGCAACTGAGTTCCCCATTTCCTGGACAGGTCAGTGAAGGCAGGTGTTTATGGCATGGATCTGAATTTCTTAAAGCACTGCATGAAAATAATTATTGATGTTGATTACTGAGTTCTTTGGGGCCCCATTCATTTGGCATGGAGGCCTCCCCTGAATCCTGGCCCTAATGTGAAGGGCCTTGAATGACATGCTGAACAACTTGGACTTTATTTGATCTATACAGCAAGCAACTCTCAATATATCATATTAAATATTATATATGTATAGAGTGCATATTATAGTTAATATCAAATAAAACACTAATGTAAGACATAAAATAAGGCACGTAAATACAACATATACTTGTAACATACAGCATCTATAAATATATAAATATGGGATACACACACACACACACACACACACACAATACAAACACTTGCACATATGTATTTTTAGCAGAGCCAAGACCAGGTCAGATCTGTGTTTGGGGGAGCACCTTAAGTTTACACCCCCAAGTTTCTAAAACTTAACTCTCTAACACTATTGATGTTAAAACGCCCTAACATTAAAATTTATTTTATTTAAAAATTTATTTTATTCTAAACATACGGGGTGCAATTCAGGATCAGGGATCCGGGTGGTCATCGTACAGGTAAAGCTTGGGCCTCCCTTTGGTCCCCACTTCGCCATGTGCCCCCTCCCCTGCCAGTTTCCCTTTCTCACACTCGCTAACGTTCCACTGTCACACCCTAGCTCCCTCGTTTGCCCCCAAGACCCCGACGTGGCCCGCCGCCCAGGTGCGCGCCCTGCCTCCTCCCCCCTCCA